TCAGTCGACTGGAAAAAATGAGCCGATCATCGTTATTGTGGTTGGCGGATTTCAAGTTATTGTAGATGCATGAGTGATGGTTATTGGTTGCCTTTGCGTATACGCGTACGACCAAATATGTTGATGTGGACTTGCATGTGTAAAATAATGGAGGCTGTTGGCTAGGGCCACCGGTATTGGCTCTTGATTTAAGCTGCAGCGAACTGGCTAGCGTTCGTTTAGGCCACTGCGAGAAAAATAGAGTAATGTGTGGTCTATTTTTGTAGTGTCCATAGATGTCTGACGGCGGTAACAGTCTGTTTGATAGATCACTATGGAAAGCAAAAACCCCAGCATTCGGTAATACGGGACCGGGGTGGTGGTGGTAGTGGAGGGTTATGTGGCTGTGCCCTAACGGGGGTGCAGGGGAGAAAACAAAATAAATATGTCAAACCAAAACAGGAAATAGTACATGCAGTTATTATAAAAAGCCAAGATATAGCAACAAAAAAGCTCGTGATCGTTGAAAAATGAATCAAAATAACAAATTAATAAAACAATAAATTAAGAAGTAAATAAATAACCATTACCGTTGGCTCTGTATTACATACTTATGGGTTTTTGCTTTCCCTGGCGGCGTCCCCATTACGTTGCCCATGCACTCATTAATGTGGCGATGGGGCAGTGTGATAGGAGCCATTTGACGTTTGTGCCCCTGATGTTCAAAAAGATCACATACGAGTGGAGGACTCCTGTGCGAGTTCGAAAGCTCATAACAATAAACAAATCAATCCGGTGTTCGACCATTCTTCTTCTTTACAGATCACATACGCTACGGGTGAACGTGAGGCAAGTCCTCTGTGATATATTTCTAGGCGTCGAAGCGGCACCTAGAAGCAGCCTGCGTGAATTCAGCATTTCCATCCGCCGCACAGAAAATTACATAAATTTCAGCTTAAGGGAGTCGGGGGCATTTCGGATGTTAAACCTAAATCTCGTGCATAGTCCTCCAGTCACCTTGCAATGGATTCTCAATTGGCAGACGAATCCGAAACTGCTTCCAATACTCGATCATAGTCTTCGAACTGATGGAATAGTCCACTTATACCACTATAAGCAACTGTACCTCCGAGAGAGACATTGTGATGTTTATTCTTGGGGCATAGTATCCGAGCTTCGAGGCGGATCGAACTATCTCTGCCATATAATAGTGATTGGTCGGGTTCACGCCGACTGGGGAGAAGATGAGGCAAAGATGCCGATGTGGGGTGAAAAAATCAGTCTTCATAAGTCACCCACAAGGCAGACTATTACGTTACAAAGCAAGACGCACACTACGAGAGAGGTTTGCCACATATAGGCTAGTCCGACCAACGCAAACAACGAAGCTCGGCGTTGCCCCCCCCCTCCCCCACGAAGTGACCGCAAGCATGACTTTCACATAAATTTATTTATCGCAACGTCAACATAGGATATATTTACTTCCCAAACCCATGGCATTCCCACGGTAATATGTATGCTAGACGCTCGGAGGTGAGCATAGGATTTTAAAAGGAGATTTTAATTAAGGTTTTGAAACTAGTGTGCTGTGGACTCTTCGTCCGCAATGAATAATTCGGATTCTCCCTATCCTAGGTAAATAGGTCATAAAATGATTCATCTGACTAGCTACCTCGCCGTTTGTTGGAGTTAACACCTGTTGATGAACGTTCACTGATCGCTAATGTAAATCGATTGTCCTACTTTGTCTTGAATCTAATTTCTCGGGCCCTGATACCAGTTGACGATGGCTAATAAGCCAGAAATGGCCATTCTAGTCTCTTCTGTCTTTAACGGTTATTGTTGGTGAAAATTCCCCTTTAAATAAAATTGTTAACTGATCAAGGAGGTTTGTAGACCTTGAAATTAAGTTAAGAAGTAGAAGAAGAAGGTTGTTCGTTCGCCGGAAGCTTGCTTTAGTCACCTGAGCTCTCAAACTCTTACTGAAGTCCATTGTCAGGAATAAAAGTAGCAACAAGGAATGTAACCTTTATCGGAATTAGGTGCCATTGAAACCTCAACAAGAGGTCAAGGCAAAAGTAGTTTATGTTGGCCCACTCATATACCCCTAGTACCAGCATTTTTTCTTGCAAAAACGGTGGGT